AGTAGCTTCTCTTCTCAGCAAACGGTGCAATAATAATAATCAGAAAAAATGTTTCAATGACTGTGACAGGAATTCTTTCCAGGAATGCTGTTTGTATAGTTGACTGGGTCTACAAGCACACCCATAAGAAGATGGACTTTGGTGCAAGCAATACAGCGGTAGATCTGTGTTGTGGATGCATGTCTGATGCTGAAGGCCTTCAAATACTGTTCTGGATTACTAGTCTGCATCTCTCAACAGGACATTACTTTTTTTCTAGCTATCTTCTTTCTATGCTTAATTTTTTCTGACTATTGTTGTGACTATGAGCAGTCTTTTTTTTTTTTTTAGAAATATAAAAGTCCTGTGAAGTACAGCATATGTATATATACAGACATAGACAGAAATAATGTAAATATAAAATGAGGGATCAGGTGTCAGGCCTTTATTATCTTCTACATTCCCACACTCTTCAACAACCAAATCTGGAAAATGAAAGAGCTAGAGTGTGGGGAGCTCTGATCCCATGAGGAAATGGTGGGATGTATTTAAGGTGTGAGAAAGGTCGGCCCGTGCCCTGGGGAGGGTGGGAGGTGTGAAGGTGCCTACCTTATGGCCTGCATTTCCAAGTGCCACAGGCCCGGTGGGGGGGCAGTTGGAGGGGAAGGTGGTGGTGGTGCTGGCTGCTGGCAGCTCAGATACAACATCATCAGTGACAGAGGAACCCCCGTGGCTGAGGGAGGCTGCGGCCAGCAAGGGCCGTACACTGTGGGAGGTGTTCCACTCCTTGTCTGCACCACTGGTCGTCACTGCACCATGGGTGTTCCCCGTTTGGCTGGTGCCATTACTGATGGTGGGTTGCGTTGTGGGGGGATAAGCCCCGACCGCAACATTCCCTGGGCTTTTCTGGCTGGTTGGTGTACCCTGCACGACTCCACCACCTTGCAACAAACTGACTAGCAACAGTTTCTGTAAGGACACAACCCAAACGGGACACCAGGGTGAGACATCCACCAGCGGTGGTGAGGAAACACAAGGACATGTGAGCCTCCTTCCACCCCAGGCTTATACTTACGTGCTCCGGTTCCATTCCTGGTCCCCTAGCGGCTTGGCAAAACTCAATGTAACAGAGCAAGCTGTGCAAATAAATGTGCTGAGAACTTCGTGCTTACATGCTATCACTGACATTCGCAATATAAGCAGTGTTCATTTTTTCCTTTCTTTTCTTTTTTTGGCCAATATGTACAGCTGTTTGATCAGCAGAGCAAAAAGGACTATTGATAAACGCTTTTATTGTCAACAATGTACTGCAAACTGATTTTTTTTCATGACTTCAATAAAAGTTTTCATAAAAAAAAAAGAAAAAAAAAATTGTAGACATGTTTTTCCATGTCATATACTGGAACTTTGCAACTACAATATCAGTGATGATTGTAAGAAGCACAAACTTTAATTCTCTCTCTTTCTTTTTTTTGTTTTTCTTTCTCTCTCAGTGGAGTTACATGTATTTTTCTCTCCGCGACCAATAGCTACAGGATGATTAGACATGTTTCCAGGCTTGACTCTGCAAATGCATAAGAAAAAGGACCCCATAATGGAGAGACCCCACCCCATTCTCGAGAAAGGCTCAGAGCATACATACCGTCTGAGGGACCATGGTGAGCGACGGCAAGACCGATGGCAGAGTGGCGGCGGACGCGGTAGCAGCGACAGCAGCAGAAGCAGTGGCAGCGGCCGCAGAAGTGGCACTGTTGGGGCTCAAGGTGGCACTCCCCGGGGACGAGAGTAGCGACGACTCCGAGTCTAGGGACTGGTCACCGCCAAAGCCGGAGTCCTCATCTAAGACGAGGGACTGTGAGGGCGGCGGTGGGGGGAGGGAAACCTTGGACGACCCACGGCCTTTCTTTCCACCCACTCCGGATGAGGCTGGGGGGAGGGGGAGATAGCAGGTGAGAGGGGATGGGGAGACAAGAGAAGCAGGTAGGTGGGGGGATGAGGATGACAAATACTCAAGCTTAAATCCATGTTTCTGTATCTTTTTCAAAACCAAATTCCAACAAAACTTACGTTAAAAATCAAGAAAACTAAAACATTGATAAAACAAGTACTCAAACTTTCACACCCAATATCAGTATTGCACAACAATCATCACATACCTGATGACCACACACACAAAAAAAAGAAAAAAAAAAAAAAAAAAAAAAAAAAAAAAAAAAAAAAAAAAAAAACACTAACACAAATACCGACATCACACACACACACACACACACACACACACACACACACACACACACACACACACACACACACACACACACACACACACACACACACACACACTCAACCAATAAAGGGCATCCACCACCACCACCACCACCAAGAACAGCAGCAAATGAGGCGCATAATCACCCTTCAGAAATCTTCTTCTCTGAGACACCACTGAACCTTTATTGTTGACCTTCCCCATCTTGCTCCCACGGGTTCTCTCTCCATAAAAAAGCTTCAGTCTCCTGGCTGAATTCTGGAAAGGTAGAAAAAATGTGGTCATTAATAGAGAGAAGATAATAACATTGATAACTGTGATAACAATAATGACAATGACAGTAATGATAACAATAATAATAATAATAATAATAATAATAATAATAATAATAACAATAATAATAATTAATGATTATATTAGTATTAATAGTAATAATGATATATAATGATATAATTATTAACAATACCAATACCAATAATAATAATAATAATAATAATAATAATAATAATAATAATAATAATAATAATAATAATGATGATGATAATAACAATACTAATTTTTATCATCATGATAATGATAATGAAAAAGTTTAATGATGATGATGATGATGATATCAATAATAATGATAATGATCATTGCAACGATCTTAATGCTAATGATCATAATAGTATTATTATAACATAATTATTATAATTATAATAATTACCAATATAACAACAACAGTAATAATAACAACAATAACAATCAAAATAAAAATAACAAAATCATTATTCATCATGAACGATGAAACACTGTTAAAAGAAAAGGGCGCTACGTATTTTTTGTTCTTTTTTTAAATCCTAATCTAATCTCGCGACTCCGCTGAACTGGACTGGACTGGACGCATCCCACGGCGCCCGAGGACAAGGCAGGGGTACTTGTCGCCGCCCTGTTGCCGGTCGCCGAAAGGAGGCAACCCGAAGGTCACTCTTTCTTCGCTTCTTTTCCCCTCTCTTCTGTTTCCTTTTTTTTTTATCTCTTACTCCTCCTTCTACTCTTTTTATTTTACTTTCTTCCTCTTCCCCGCGCTTTCGAGAACAGGAGAGCCGAGTAGATATTCGGATAATGTAAATAAACAGTAATTCTCAATGCATGCCGAGTCCTTTGTCTCGCCCGCCCTTAGATACCACCATAATAAGAGTAAAACAAAATACAATACTCATAAAAAATACTGACAATGACAACTACATTTCTTTCTTTTCCAGATGATAATATTTACAGTTATAAATAACACGAAATCCCCGAAAAAAAAACAGACAACATAAATTGCCCAAACTCCGGGAAACAACTTTCACAAAAATAGTGAACCTCGCTTTGTTTCCTTCCCTTACGAACACTTCACATTTATTACAAAAAAAAAAAACGTAAATATTTATATAAAAAATACACAACAAATAAACATCAACACTGGCCATCGCAGCTTTAGTTCAAGCCCGTCCAAGCGCGTTATATTATTACTGCATTATGATCCCGGCCAACTATTAAGCTGCAGGGGGTTGGGGGAAGGTGCGTGGGGTCAGGAAGATTAATCAATGACACCGACTGTGAGGTCATCATGGGTCACGGATTAAATTCAGCCGACCCGCGGTCATCATGCAACGCACCCCGCACGCAATACAAACGGCCTGAGACACACAGCCACGCACACGGACCAAAACAAACACTTGCAGACGAAACAAAAGGCGCCAAAGCATACTTGCACAGTAGTAAGGCCGCACAAACATGCACGGCCACGAGGCACGACCCCCCATCAACACAACCCCGACGGACCCCGCCGCTCACACCCCAAGCGGAAGGCGTCTCCCGACAACAAATCAGTACCTGGCTCAGATGCGCCCCCGCCGCCGCCGTGTCGTAAGGGCGCAGCCAGCGTCCAGATCAGGCGGTGCTCACGTGGCTCCCTACGCGCGCCTCTCACTCGCCAGCCTTGCCCGTCACCGCTCGCACTCCCGCTTCCGTAACTTTCTACGGCTTTTATGCCCCTCTGCCTCTCTTTTGAGCCCCAGAGAAAGGGGAATTAATTGCAATAAGAACTGCGGCGTCGAGAGTCAAGCGCCGGTTTCTGACTGGCCAGCCGCTGCACCTTACTTCCTGCCCCCACGACGCGTGTAAGACCAATTAACGCCTAGATGCCTACTTATAACTTGCCGCAGCCGCCGCAGAGATCCTTATCTCCCCGGGGGAATCTTCTGATAACGGCAGACGGCAGCGCTTATCGCCTACACCCCCCCCCCATAACCCCCCCTTGTAAGACGGGAACCTATCTCATTCAGGGCAGATACGGAGACAATGAATCATCGCTGTATCGAAACCATGACTACAGGCTTTACGGAAAACGGGGAGGAAAGGAGGGATGGGGGGGGAGGGGTGATGTCGTTCCCTCCTCCTCTTTCCGATAGGCACTCGCAACCCAGATGGCGTCATATCTCCCCGTAAATTGTCCTGAAACAGGCTGAGAATAGGACCTGCGAATAGAATTTGGGAATGCGGAGAGAAAAGGGCGACGGGACATGTGGAGAAAGGCGGTTCGGGGAAAGGAACGTAACAGCCTGATCGAGGAATAGTAAAAAAAAAAAAAAAAAGTCTGAACAGAACCTACCGACTGAGTGTTTCGTCTACGAAGGGTTGGATGCCGTTCTTCTGTTTGTCGCTATTGGCACCTATGCCACTGCACAGTTGTCAGTTTGTAAATATTCCGCAGAGTGAGTAAGAGAGAGAG